ATGGCATCTTTTAATTCTTAGCCAAGTAACACATGCTTCTTATAGAAAACAAAGTGAATGAAATACAGTAAAACTATTTGTAATTCATCTTTCAAAGAGACTGAACTAATTGTTTTAATTCTGTTTATGATTAGAATGGTTGAACATTTACATTTGTTAGCCATTTAATTTGCTCTCTTATGAGATATATCCTTTATATTTATTGGATTTTGGATTCTTTATTTATTTTATTTTTTTAAGATTTTATTTATTTATTTGACAGAGAGAGAGAGACAGCGAGAGAGGGAACACAAGCAGGGGGAGTGGGAGAGGGAGAAGAAGGCTTCCCGCTGAGCAGGGAGCCCGATGCAGGGCTCGATCCCAGGACCCTGAGATCATGACCCAAGCTAAAGGCAGATGCTTAACACTGAGCCACCCAGGCACCCCTGGATTCTTTTTTTTAATATTTAGGATATTAGTCCTTTGCTTTTTACTTTAAACTTCTGCCTAATATAACCTTTCCCCTCAGATTATTGTTTTTGATATTTTTGATACACAGATGTTTATAATTTTTATATTGTAGAGGTGCCTGGGTGGCTTAGTCAGTTGAGCTTCCAACTCTTGATTTTGGCTTAGGTCATGATCTCAGGGTTGTGAGATTGAGCCCCGTGTGGGGCTCTCTGCTGGGCGTGGAGCCTGCTTAAGATTCTCTCTTTCTCCCTCTGCCCCTCCCCACCCCTATCTCTTTAAAAAATTTTTTATATTGTAAATCCGTTGATATTTTTCATTTGTGATTTATTGTTATTGTTTTCACATTTGGAATGATGAGATAAATAGTAATCTGTGTAGTTTTGCCAACTTTTTAATATTTTTAAAAAAATTTAATTCTTTGATTCACATGGTGTTTGTTTTGCAGTATAGTATAAAGGGAAATCTTCCCTGACCTTCTTTTAATATAGCTAACCAGTGTTTATGTAGTTAGACGAAGAGAGACTGAATATTCCATGTGATGGTACTCAACTATAGCATATTCTGGAGAACAGAGAGTAGTAAGTAGATTACCCACCTTGCTGAAAGTAGGGCATATGAAGGAGAATTTAAGATTGGAAAGATGGTTTAAAGTGTAAATGGAGAATGCCTTTAATTCCAGGTTAAAAAATTAAAATTTGTAGGCGGTAAGAATTTTGAGTGGCTGAATGTGCTTGAAATGAACTTTTAGTTACTAGGATCAACTCAAACTGATCTAACTTAAGCAAAGAAAATTTTTTTAGGAAGAAATTTTATTGGCTTGTGGAATTGAAAAATCAAGAGGTAGTATTAGCTTCAAATATAAGTTGATGCAAGTATGTCATTGGGTGGCTTCTCTGTCTCTTGACCTTGCTCTCTTCTATACTGGCCTTTTTAAAGGTTCTTAGAGATGGCCCTTCACATCTCCAGTTTTAAATCCTTTTAGATCCAAGTTGGAAGCAAAGAATGCCTCTTCCATGAAATTCCCTTACAAATCCAGACATTTTCCTGACTGGACTCGTTGGTTCACTTTGGCCTCAGGGAAAGTGTGATGATGATTGGCCAGAGGGGGTCCTCAGCCTTCTCCAAATGAATTAATGTTGGTGAGGGAATTCAGGTGCTCTTGTTGGCCAGGCCTGGGTCATGTGCTCTCCTTCCAGAGTCAGGAATGGAACCTCCCTGAGGCCATACAGTCTGGATGTTGGGGAGCAGTGATTTCCCAAAGCTGTGCAGCAGACTGGAGGAATAGTAGCTGTATTAGTCAGCTTAGGCTAGGTTATGCTGCAGTGACCAGCAACACTGAAGTCTCTGTGGCTTACTGTAGACAACTGTAACCAAATTCGCATTCACACAGAGTCTGCTGGGGCCTCGGGCCTTCCGTGTTGCCATCCATGTTCTAGCCCAGGGTGGCTGTGTTAGGACCAGGCTCTCGTCAGAGTTTTGGCCAGAGTAACAGGGTTGTCTCTCCATTTCTCTGTACTAACTGTATAGTCTTGCTGTCATCATCTGTTAGGTACAAAAGGAATTCACTTTCTAAATTGGTACTCACTCTTGTTTCTGCTTGGGGAAGAAGTATGTAACTGATTAGTCAAGGGCCCTTCTTCCATTTATACTTTAGAGTCTACAGTTTAGACAGACTGTCTTTTTGTGAGTGTTTGGCATTCTTTTTCCTTTTGCCTTGTAATTATTCGTGTTTGTTCTCAGCACTTTTTAAAAGTGGTTTTATGGAGCATTGAAATCCCTTTTAAGCTTCCCCTTTCCTCCTGTTTATTTTGAGTGATGATACATTAAACACCCCAGCTTTTCGGTGGTGATGGTCATGTGATTAATACACCTTGGGCTTTCACCCAGCAGGAGATTCCCGGGCAGCCATTGGAGATGTGCTGTTAGCGATTTTCCATCATAGCAGTGTTCCTTGAGGATCTCACATACTCTTCTCAGGGTGTGGAAAGGGAGGAGACTATTGCCAACACTATTCCTAAACATAAACTTCTAATTTCAACAGGCTGTTAGAACGTCCAATGAAAAGATCATTTGTGAAAGCAGAGCTGTTGGTCACTCTGTAAGCAATCCTGCTTCCCTTACTTCATCTGGAGGAGGATGCCGTGTGGTCATATTCAGAAAATAGCATCCTCTGCAGGGGCCCATTGATTATGTAAGGCCAGGAGACCTGTGGTGGCAGATGCCAAATGGCTTGGAGCTACCAGCCTCTCCCTTCCCCAGGACTAGTCTGGTGAACTGTCTGCCTTCAAGTTTTTTAAAATGCTACTGTCTTGTCCTCTGAAGTGTCTTATTTGCAAATGAAAAAGAAAGCCAAAGTAATCATCTCATTGATGTTGACAAAAGAGAACTAATGAAATGGAATCGTTGGTGCATCTTAACTGGATTTTCAGCAGGCTCAGCCCTATCTAGGTTGTCTTGGGGGGAGGGGAGAGAACCTGCATGCATTTATGAAGTCATTCATTTATTCATACATTTGCCTTTGTTGGCCTGGATGTGTGTGGGGATGTAAAGACTTAGTTTTAAGTTAGTCTAATACAGCAAGTTACCTGGTGACCGTGAATAGGCTTCAGGGGGCTAGCTCCTTGAAATTGTCTGCAAAATCTGGAAGGGCATTTTTCTGGGGAGATGATTCTATAGCTTCCGTTAGGTTCTCAAAGGGATGTAAGCCTTAAAGCTGCAAGGAGCCTTCTCAAATGCTCAGAACCCCTCGTTGTGGCTGCCATAGCTCCTGATTGGAGCTGTCACCCTGAGAAAGCAGTACCTCTTGAGTATTTCACATGGCCCCTTAGAATGGAAGTGGTAACGTGGTCCATTCCTAGCCGGAAAGAAGTGAGCAGAGGGAAGGGGGAAGCAGTGTAGGCTCTCTGGTGAGCACCGAAATGATGAAGGATCGACTTCATTTTACTGAGGGTAAAATGCACCCTTCTCAAATGCTTGTTGAGTCCCATAATCTCGGAGAAGAGACTTAAGAGCACAGATTCTGGAGCCAGATTTGCCAGGTTTAAGTCTCGGCTCTGCCATTTAGTAGTTGTGTGTACTTCAGCAAATTATGTAATGTCTGTGGTCTCAGATGTCCTCATATAGCAAATTGGGATAATACAGTATTTGCATCATAAGACTGCTGTAAGGATTAAATGAGATAATACAAAGTTCTATGATAGCATGTAGCACATGGTCGGTGCTTAATAAATATTAGCTCTAATAGTGGAGCCCAGAGGTTGTCCTCAGTCATGTAAAGAGTAGTCCGATATGGACATATTTTGTACCTATCTCCCAAAAAGTCACCTGCTTTTAGCTTTTGCACTTATGAGCTGTTTCAAGTAAATTCACAAACATCATAAAAGATGAAAGAATACAGTCACATAGCCTTTTAGTAAAATAACAGTGGTCAGTGTTCTTGTCACAAAACGTTGCATGGTGAGGTTCCCGCCGTGAGGACTAACTGTGAATATCATGTTTCCTTTTTGTCTTTGGAAATATACTGTACAGTCTTTAATCCTGATTTCATCGAGGATGTGGTGGCTGGAGACCCACAGTTCGTCCAGCCTCGTTAGGCTCCAGGGGCCTCTGTCTGTCCTTTGCATTCATCTTCTGGTTCCTCAACTAACTGGGAAATGTCTCCCTCTGTAGTTTTATTCTTTTTGTCATTATGGGTAGAAAATGAAAAATTATGAATTCTTCACTGTCTTCCACGGGAAAGTAAAAAAAAAAAAAAAAGACTGCGAAGATGGTGTCTTCAGACTTCTTTTATACCTTCCCGAAAATGCTGTGATACGTCGGGCAGCGCACTGAGGAAACGGAAGGATGATGTAGTGGTGACGGACTTCACTCCTGCCCCTGTCTGTGGGGATAGGAGAATAGTCATGATAGAATGTTAAATGCGGAGAGGACACGGGCCGTGTATACACTGCGAGTCCAGCTGTGTAAAACGCATACATAAACAGTATTGCAGCCAGGATGCAAACGGTTTTTTTCTGGATGAGGCGATCTGTGATACTTAAATGTAATTATATGCTTCTCAATTCCTGAAATCTGTAACTAGCATGTATTGTTTTTAAATCATTTTGTGATAATTGAAGCAGAGATTCTTTTTCAGTGAGTTTCATTGAGATACTGTTTACATACTGTACCATTCACCCACTTAAGGTCTCCCATGTGGTGCCTTTCAGTATGTTCACCACAGCCGTTCAGCCAGCACTCATCATCAGTCTGAGAACGTTGTCATCACCCCAAAGGGGAGATTCTGTACACATTTAGCCGTCTCTCTGTTTGTCCCACACCCTCCAGCCCCTGGCAACCACTCATCTGCCTTCTGCCTCTATGGATTTGTCTATTCTGGACATTTCAGACGAATGGCCTCACACCACGTGCAGGTCTTTGTGGCTGGCTTCTCTCACTCAGCGTAGGGTTGTCAAGGCAAAGCTGATCATGCTTGCGCTTTGGTGACTCCTAGCAATCATACTAACCCTTATTTATCACAGGGTAAAATATATCTTTTTGTTTACTTCTAGACTTGGTTCCTTCAATTATGAACAACTTGTTGAATCCAGATGCCATTTTCTCAAACAATGAGATGAGCCTGTCGGACATTGAAATCTATGGCTTCGACTATGATTATACCTTGGTGTTTTATTCAAAGCAGCTCCACACGCTGATATTTAATGCTGCTCGGGACCTTCTCATCAATGAACACCGGGTAAGAGCACAGGGACACTGCGGTCTCCCTCCTCCTTCCTTTAGACATTGAAGAACAGCGTTGAGCGGACCTGGCCTTGTGCCTGGCACACAGACGTCACTTAGTAAAATGTTGTTAAGTGAACGGGTAGATTTTGTTCCATTCCAGATGACTTTGTCTGGAAGATTTTTTTTTAACTACTTTTTTTTTGAGGTATGGTTGACATACAAAAAGCTATACATACTTAATGGGTATAACTTGATGAGTTTGGGGGTAAGTGGATACCCATGAAACCATCACCACCATCAAGGTCATAAACTGTCACCTCCCAAAGTTTCCTCCTGCCCCCTTCATTATTATTGTTATTTGTGTGTGTGTGTGTGGTAAGAACACTTAACTCAGCAGATTTTTGGTAATACAGTATTGTTTGCTACACGTGCTGTGCTGTATTATAGAGCTCCAGAACTTGTTTCTCTCACATACCTGGAACTTT